ACCCAATAAACCCCAAAAAGGCTAAAGATGTAAAGTTACAGTAAAGCACCACAAAGTAGACCCAAGAGTAACCTTGGAATTTAACAGAGTAACCTTTTCGGTTTAAAAAGGGGCAGCCACAAAAACATCCGGGCCTACTCTGGGTCCTGGTAAACTACACTCAACCCGACCTGCAAACCCGTTACAAGAAGCTCACCCTCTTACGGGCTCATGGGATTAAGGGCGGCAAAAAAGTAGTGAAGGCAAAAAACCACCTGGACCCTGAACCCTGAGCCGGACCCTACACCCTACACCCTAAACCGGAAATCCGAAACCCTAATACTCCAAACTTCCAGGCCGATCAGACACAGGCGTCAAAATTTCGGATCCTACAGGGAGACTATAGCTACTATGCGGAATAGGTTGTCCCCCTCGCCCGTCAGTCAGGGAACGCATGCTAGGGGAGGTTAGGGTTTAGGGTTTAGGGTTTAGGGTTTAGGGTGTAGGGTGTAGGGTTTAGGGTTTAGGGTTTAGCGTTTAGGGTTTAGGGTTTAGCGTTCGGGCTCACGGGGCTAAAGGTCGAGCAAGTCTGCCGACCGGCTGTCAGTGAGGCGCTTCCACGGTTTTGGGTTTGGGGTTTAAGTTTCACTCTCAAAAGGGTGCCCTTTTGGTTTTCAAGGGAATTATAAGGGACTCTAAACCCCTTTCTTGACGAGGGCCTACTCTGGGTCCTAGGCAGGTTTGGGCGGCCTTAAAAACATTGCTTTACAAGGGTGATTTAGGGGATTCACCCTAAGGCTCCAAAAAACCCATAGTGTTATTTACAGACTTTAGACCCCAATGTAGGTGTTATTTGTATACTTGGAGCTTTAGGGGATTACGGGTAAGACCAATCTTAAGACTCTGCTCAAACCTACCCCGGTTCAGGTGGTTCAGGTGTCGGAAACTCTTGTGCGGCCTGACCCAGTTTCACGCCTCCATGCTCTTTTGCAGGAGGGCAACCGCATTGGCCGTGACAGGCCCGTCGAAAGGAGAATGAGAGCCGTCACCAGCAAAATTCTCCCAGAAGTTTCAGGTGAAGTCATGCTCTTCTGACTGCCTAAGGATCCCTCACCGGGACCGACTTAAAGACCAAATACTCTTAGGGGAAAACACGGGACGGGCGGGGGGAGGATAGAAAACCAACAGATTTCCCCCACCAACCGCAGCTGGGAGCCTCATTCCCCAACGTCGCAGGCTGGGAGAAGGCTGTCGAACGATGATTGTGGCACTTCCTGGCTGACCTCTGAACCCCTCCTAACAAGCCCTAAGGGTCCATGTACCTAATTATGGAATACTTGGGCCTTAAAGTACTTCCTATATAAGGACTTTTGGGTCTAAGTATATACTAATAAGGTACATGGACCCTTAGGGAAAAGTTTAACTTTTAGGCTCCCCTTTGTAGTTTCTACCAAAAACCCCAAAAAGTTATAAAGTCCTAAGAGCCAGGCAGAAGCAAGCCAAGGCTTCCGTACCAGTTCAACGAGCTGCTCTGCTGAGGAATGAACCGCGCATCTGCCGGATATCTCCGTGGCAATTCACCTAGGATGGTCCTTAAGACCCTCTAAAAAATATTCCTGAATGTGATCCTCTTAAACCCAAAAAGGGAAAATATAAAATGTCCCAAGGGCCTACTGAGTCACCCTGACCCCGAAATATCCTGTCGATCTTGCCATGAACCCTAGAACCCTAACAACTCCGAAGCACAGCCGTTTAAACACGCACAAACAGGCCACGCGCGTAAACAAATGTGTGAGATGAGCTAAACAAACTCAAAACACGTTCGGCCAAAGAAAGCATTGACACCAAAAGCGCGTAAACAAACAATGACACAAGCTGCCCACAAAAACACAAAACATCAATGTAAAGGGGATCTGAACGACCCTCAAACGCTTTGCAAAAATAGCCTTTGCACAGGAACAAACCAAAACAGCCCTAATCAAGCCCTAAACCCTTGTCCTTAACCAAAGCACACCAAGGACTAAGCCTAACTTGCCCCCCAACCCTAAACCCTAAACCCCAAACCCCAAACCCCAAACCACAGTAAACCCCAAACCCCAAACCCCAGACCCCAAACCCCAAACCCGAAACCCCAAACCCCAAACCCCAAACCCTAAACCCTAAACCCTGAACCCTAAACCCTAAACCCTAAACCCTAAACCTATCAAACCGCCCTCTGCTGTGATTCCTCGCAGAGCCGGGCTCTCAGGCCACCGACGAACTCTCGGACTCGGAGCCGACCTTTCAGGGTAATGGGAGTTGGGGTTTAGGGTTTAGGGTTTAGGGTTTAGGGTTTAGGGTTTAGGGTTTAGGGTTTAGGGTTTAGGGTTTAGGGTTTAGGGTAGTGCTACAGATACTACGCTTGTTTACAAGAGCCCTCTGAAACTCGGCGGGTCAAAGTTCAGGGCTCAGAACATACCCGAAGGCCCTAAGGGTCCATGAACTGTTAGGGTTTAGGGTTTAGGGTTTAGGGTTTAGGGTTTAGGGTTTAGGGTTTAGGGTTTAGGGTTTAGGGTTTAGGGTTTAGGGTTCACTTCCATATCTTAGACTAGACCCAGGAGTAACCTAGGAATAACAAGGGTGCCCTTTTTGGCTTAAGGGGATTAACCCTACAAAGGGGAAATGCGGAGATATGCAGGACATCTACATGCTTAGTTGGGGGGGTGGGTCCAGGGCTTCTAGGTTGGAAGGGTTTCTTAGGTTTCGTGCCATAACCCTCAACCGTAAATCGCAGAGGGTAGCGCCCTAAACCCTAAACCCTAAACCCTGAACCCTAAAATCCGTCCCACCTCGCCCTCCTGGAACCCCTGATGATGCATCTCCGGGGGCATGTTGTCGAACAAAGCTTGGCCTGCAGCACTTAGGGTCTAGTGTTTAGGGTGTTCAGATTAGGCACGCACCCTCAACCCTATAAGTGCTTGGGAATTTAGGGCAGTCAGGGTTCGGGTAGTCAGGCAGTTAGGGTTTCGAGCTAGGAATTTGGTGTGCCGCTATGGGAGTTGTGACCTGAGTCATCGGAAAGCCCAGCTAGGCCTCCCAAAAGCCGATACCTACTGCCCCCTAGACACGAAACCTTTAACCCTTAACCCTAAACCCGAAACCCTAAACCCTAAACCCCTTACCGGCTGCTGCTGCCGTTTGGAGCCAGGGGGCTCGGATCCGACATTCAGAAAAGGCACCGAAGCAGGCTTAGGTTTATAGGTGTTTCTCCGCATGTTTTCAAGAAGGATCTAACAGCACTTTTAGGGTTTAGGGTTTAGGGTTCAGGGTGAGAGAGACCAACACCTGTCACCATCGCCCAAAGCATCCATGCACACACGACAAGAACGCCCGTCCATGTTGCCGGCGTGGCCAGAGCACCGATGCCGGAAAGACAGCCCCTAAACCCTAAACCCTAAACCCTAAACCCTGAACCCTAAATCCTAAACCCTAAACCCTAAACGCTAAACCCTAAACCCTGAACCCTAAACCCTAAACATCCATGCCCGCACGAGAAGACCGACCATGCAACCAGAGTACGGTGGCCAAAACACAAACCTCCAAAAGCACGACTGTCGAAAGAAAATACCCCCAAAACTCCAGGTACCGAAATCGGCAGCACGGGGCCTTAAAAAAGTAGCTCTCCTTTCCAGAGAGTTTGGGGCCCAAGTATAGGCTGTCAAAATGATGACCCTTTTTGGGGTACCCTAAATATTAGGTGCCGTATAATGGGATCCAAAAACGGACCATCATTTTGACAACCTCCCATATGGTAATGAGGCATGAGTACAAGGACCCTCAGGGTAGTTACCATGCTTTCGTGGCTTTTTTTTTGGGTTTGCAGCAACACAGTTCTTTCGAAGCCTGGGACGCTGAAGTTTAGGGTTTAGGGTTTAGGGTTTAGGGTTTAGGGTTTAGGGTTTAGGGTTTAGGGTTTAGGGTTTAGGGTTTAGGGTAAACCCACCAAGCGTTCCAAGCTCCTGAGTCCGCATTGGCGTGGGCAAAAGCCTTCTGAAACGGGGACACCTTCCTCTAGGGATGTTACCGTTAGGGTGTACGGAATGGAGGGCTTATAGGTATAGCTTTCTCATAGCCCCGGCAGTACTTGCAACCAGGGTTTCGGGTGTAGTGCTGGGCTCTTTCAGGAGTTCGTCGTGGAAATATGAGAGTCCCAAACCTCTAAACCCTAACCCCAAACCCTAGACCCCAAACCCCAAACCCTAAACCCCAAACTCTAAACCCTAAACCCCAAACCCTAAACCCCAAAAGCATTTCCAACTGTTGGCACCCAGTGGCGCACGTGGCTGTGATGCCTCGTCAAGGCCCGGTCCACCTGTGCTCTGGTGACAGAAAACGGGGTTTGGTTTTTAGGGTTTAGGGTTTGGGGTTTAGGGTTTAGGGTTTGGGGTTTAGGGTTTGGGGTTTAGGGTTTAGGATTTAGGGTTTGGGGTTTAGGATTTAGGGTATAGGATTTAGCTTTGAAGTTTAGGGCCCCAAACCCTAGACCCCTAACCTCGTTTAGGCCTCTGGGTCTCCTAATTGCTCCGACAAGAACTCGAATAGGACAGAATAAGGCTGTAATTCAGCAGCCTTAATGATTAGAATAGGGTTTAGGGTTTAGGGTTTAGGGTTTAGGGTTTAGGGTTTAGGGTTCAGGGTTTAGGGGGTTATTCTGTAGTATAGCAGCCTTGATGATTAGAATAGGGTTTAGGGGGTTATTCTAGTATACATGTATGAGTCGGCGTCTAAATTACTTGTTTAAGCCTTGGTTGTTTTTGAGTTTGCGCGACCCCTATCATGTCCCATGCTTGTCACCTACCGCACTTTTATGCTAGTGTATCAAATACCTCTGTCATGTTAGCGCGTCCCTTATCGATCCTCGGCGTTTTGCCTCAACAACTACCCCCTCTACTGAAATAAGCAAGCCGTGATTTTGACCGCGTCTCATATGGGAACCCTCATGAATTACACCCCCACCCCTTGCCCCCCAACCCGAAACCCTATTAAAATGATAAACGCTCAAGGTTGGCCCAAACCAACTGCCGCATACCCAGCAACTCCTTTCTGTCCCACCGCCACAAAAGCACAATGTAATTAAGGCTCATGAGTAGCACAAGTGTGGGATTCAACACCTTTAACACACTGGACCCTAAACACGAAACCCAAACCCTCCAACCCTACTTTGTAGTGAACCACTGAAGTCTAACACCTCAACCCTCCTCAAGAACACTAAAAAACAACATCAGCGCTTTGAACCCTAACGAGTAGGTCTGAGGTACTGTACCAGGATTTCAATGAACGACCAGGGTTCAGGGTTTCGGGTTTAGGGTAGAGATTTCCCTAGGCGGAGATGAAAGATCATGTTCGTGCCGGAACTGTGGAAAAGCGATAGGCCCGCCCCAAAACCGCTACTATGAAAATCCAGAAGTACTAAGCTTGCACTGCAAATCAATGAAAATCCGGACGGCTCACGGACACGTCGACTCCAGCACTAAGACTACAAGTTCATGAACATCTAGCCGCCCAGAAACTCCAAAACCCCTTAATTAAGGAATATACCTTAAATCATATTAGGGTTCCTAGTATAATTTAAGGTCTATTCCTTAATTAAGGGGGTTTTGGAGTCTCTGGGCGGCTCACGGAAATATCGATGCCAGCACCAAGCTCATATACTACAATTCAATGAATGAACACCTGCCCCGACTCGTGGAAACCAGCGATTCCAGCGCCGAAGGTGTGTTTTGAGGGGTTTAGGGTTTAGGGTTTAGGGCTTAGGGCTTAGGGTTTAGGGTTTAGGGTTTAGGGGTGTTCCAACTTGCCCTACGTAGTGGTCGCTTTTGAACAACCGAAGCTTTGTGTCAAACACAATCTCGGGGAAAAACAAGTGACCATCATCACGAGCGCCCTTCGTTTCTGTTGGACTTTGTGCACAACTTCTCAACTCCTTGTTGTAGAACACGGTGAAGGAACATCGACCGCAGCATGAGAAGACGAAGAGCTTTGGCCGCCCGTCCTTTTTCAATCAGACGCACCATAGCCGTAAGATTGAATAACTGGCTCTTGAGAGAACCAAGCTTCTGGTGAGACTTGGCATCTCTTCAAGCGTCAACGCGTTCATCTCCTCCATGTCTGCGCCATTGAGCTCTCTCAACCAGCACCTTCTCAACCCTAAACCCTAAGCCCTAAACCCTCGGCTCTCATGCTGGAGCTGGAGGAAGTACGACCGCGGTGTCATTCGTTGGTTGTCAGCTCCCACAGACCCCTTTCTTCGCAGCCATTGCTCCCACGGTGGTCATTCTTTGGGTTTAGGGTTTAGGGTTTAGGGTTTAGGGTTTAGGGTTTAGGGCTAGAAATCACGAAATGCTTGAGAATGTGTGTTTATATCAGCTGCTGTTCTTTCACACAAGCTTTCACTTACAATCAACCACAAAAACCTAGCCATCAACTTATGCAACAGAAGCCTATCCAAAGACCGAAAAAGGTAACCAGAGAATTATGCCGAACAGTGGAGGGGGGGGTGGGGTGTAAATCGCCGCAAAGATAGCGAAGGATGCAACATAAAGTAGAAATCGAGGATGAGAAACAGTGTGACTTCGGATGAAGGGGCTGCGGGGAGGCTAGGCGAGCCGAGAGGGGAGAGGGGGAGACAAGGAGAGGGAGGGGAGGGTGGGGAGGGGGGGGGGGGGGGGGGGAGAACCCTAAACCCTAAACCCTAAACCCTAAACCCTAAATCCTAACCCTAAGCCCCAAACCCTGTCGACCCAAGGATGCAAGTGGTTCGCTGACGGTGGGCCGTTTTCGTCCGAGACATTCCCAAAATGACCCTGCTAAGGCCACCTTAGGGTTTAGGGTTTAGGGTTTAGGGTTTAGGGTTTAGGGTTTAGGGTTTAGGGTTTACCTGGACCCAAAAGCGTGAACCGGCCAGCCTGCAGAGAAGGGGTAGGGGAGGGGTGTGGCTAGCGGCTTGACGGTGTCAGGAGCCTACAAGCCCTATACATCCTAAACCCTAAACCCTAAGACCCTAAGACCCAAAAAAGTGGTCGGGCTCCCGGCCATCTCCTCCGCCTCCTGCTCAGGCGTCTCCTCCTCGGGGAAAATTCTCAAGGCCGGCTCGTGGGTTTGGGGTTTGGGGTTTGGGGTTTGGGGTTTGGGGTTTAGGGTTTAGGGTTTAGGGTTTAGGTGTCAGGGTTTAGGGCTTAGGGCTTCAGGGGGGTGGACTTGCTTTATGGCCTTATTGACATTACATGTGATTGTTTTTTGTTCTTTTTTTAGGTGGGGGGGGGGGGGGGGGGGAGGCGGGGGGGGGGGGGGGGGGGGGGGGTTCAGGGGTTTAAGTTTTAGGGTTTGGGGTTTGGGGTTTCGGGTTTGGGGTTTGGGGTGTAGGGTTTGGGGTTTAGGGTTTGAGGGTTTAGGGTTTGGGGTTTAGGGTTTGGGTTTTAGGGTTTGGGTTTTAGGGTTTGGGTTTTAGGGTTTCAGGGTTTAGGGTTTTAGGGTTTTAGGGTTTGGGGTTTAAGGGTTTATAGGGTTTAAGGGTTTGAGGGTTTAAGGGTTAAGATACTTCAAACTTGCTCACAGTCCTGATAGTGAAGTAAAAGATGGCATGGTCCATAATGAGGGGCAATGTTTTGGGGAGTGACGGATATCGTTCTGAGAAAGTCATCGGCTATGTAGGAAGGCACATATCATCTTTCTCTTAGAGAGGCCGCACGGAAAGTACACCCACCTGTAACGACTTTGTCTGGACTCCAAAAGTACAAACCCAAACCCTGGCTCTGAACCGCGAACCCTAAACCCCAGTGAATGAGCTAGGAAAGATGAGTTCGAGGGTTTTGGTCTGCCGAAAGCCCTCAAACTTCAACACCCGATGTCCCTCAAGTCTGGTGAAGCCTCATCCATTTGCCCAGGGCTAGGGTTCAGGCTTCAGAGTTCAGGGTTTAGGGTTTAGCGTTTAGGGTTCAGGGTTTCGGGCTGGGTAAGCCCCACGCCAGCTCCTTTTCCACGATTTGCGGGGGGATGCGGCTCACCCCCATGCGCCGCAGGCCTATCAGAGCTCCTTGCATGTTTTGTTGCGTGTCTGAACGGGGGTTAAGGGTTTAGGGTTTTAGGGTTTCAGTTTAGGGTTGAGGGGAGTTAAAGATCAGGGAACTTGGTAAGCGGGGTTACAAGTAAGGTAGCTATAGTTGTAATTACTGATACCCCCCCAACTAACACGTAAACTCTGTAATGTTTATAGGCAATGTCCCGAAAAAGGGGCACCCTTAAAGGGGTCGCCTATTGTTTGGGAAATCTTCTCATATCAAGCGCTAAGCCTTTAGGAACCTTGGCAAAGTCTAGAAACATCGTTTCAACTGTAAGTACCTTGTCGGGTAAGCCTGAACCCTACACCGTCAGCCCTAAACCCTAAACCCTACAAGCCCCCAATCCCTAAACCCTGCAAGACCTAAACCCTAAACCCTAAACCCTACAAGCCCCCAAGCCCTAAACCATAAGACTTGCTGACCCAGGGCTGTGCACCTCGCAAAAGCGGGCGCAACATTAATTGGGGGGGGGGGGGGGGATGGTTTGGGGTTTAGAGTTAAGGGTTCAGGGTTAGGGTTTAGAGCCTAGGGTTTAGGGCTGAGAGCTTAGGGTTTTCTGACCCTCACTCGGAGATCCGAAGCCCTATGCACCCTAATCCCACGTCCGAGACCTCACGCCCCCGTAAAGCATCAACCCTGAAACCCTAAACCCTAAACCCTGAACCCTAAACCCTAAACACTAGACCCTAAACCCTAAACCCTGAACCCTAAACCGCAGAGAGTCCGAAGAGGCCGACTAAGGTGGCGTAGCCCATCGTGTAGCCTCGGTTGATCACCCCCCGGTGTCACGCAGAACGGTTTAGGATTTAGGGTTTAGGGTTTAGGATTTAGGGCTCAACTGTCTTGCTCCAAACAAGCCCGTGCTTCCTCACCAGAGACGCCCCAAGCTTTCATTTTCGCTTGTGGAAGTAAACCCTACACTCTAAAAACCTAAACCCTATACCAACCCCCTAAACCCTATACCCTAAACCCTGCTCTGCTACACCCTAAACCCGAAGCCCCCAAGCGCCAACTCAACCCCGAAGCTCCTGCACCTAGACTCCCCCAAACCCTACACCCCCCCCCCCCCCCCCCCCAACCCCCCCCCACCCCCCAAAAAAAAAGTCAAAGCCCCAAACCCCAAGCCCAATACCCGAACATTAAGAACAAAAAGCTATAAACCCCAAAGCCCCCGAAAGTCAGAACCCTAAACCCCAAACCCCAAACCCTAAACCCCAAACCCTAAACCCCAAACCCCAAACCCCAAACCCTAAACCCTAAACCCTAAACCCTAAACCCCAAACCCCAAACCCCAAACCCTAAACCCCAAACCCTAAACCCTAAACCCCAAACCCCAAACCCTAAACCCTAAACCCAAAATCTCCAAGTCACCACCAGCAGACGTGCCGAAGACTTGCCCTTTAGCGCCTTGCGCGGGTTGGGGCTCTGGATTTGGGGTTTAGGGTTTAGGGTTTAGGGTTTAGGGTTGAAAGTTGAGGGTTGAGGGTTGAGGATTGAGGGTTTAGAATTTGCAGTTTAGAGGTGTAGGGTTGAGTCAGCTAAGGTTCCCTAAGGGTCCATCTACATCAATAGGGAGTACTTGGGCCTTAACGTACCTCCTATATAGGGACTTGGGAAGTATACAATCATAGGGGTTTTAGTAGGTTTAGGGTTCAAGGGCTGAGGGGCTGATTATTGAGGGTCTAGGGCTGAGGGGTTTGCAAGGTTTCGTGCCCCAGCGTGAGCGCCAGCTCAGCCTTTAAACTCTGCTGGACGGGATTGGGGTTTTGGTGTCGGGTTTAGGGCTTAGGGCTTTTAGGTTCAGGGATTCATCGTGTTGGGTTTACGGCCTTTACCTGGGGCTCCATTTGGGACCCCTAATATAGATCCCCAAATAGTAGGATCCCCTCAGAATAAGGACCCCCCAACAAGGTAACCCTAATCTCGGAAACCCCCATATATATATATATATATATATTTTTTTTTTTTTTTTTGGGGGGGGGGGGGGTTGTAACCTACTATGTTGTAGGGCCTGGGAGTCACACATAGGGTCTGTGTCTCAAGCTTGCACATCACAGCTTGGCAGGGCTGTCAGCCACTAGACTGGAAAGCACATGTAAATGAGGGCGAAAAAACAGGGGACCCAAATTAAGGGAAGCTCTTTAGACTTCGTAAGTCGACTTAGTATCGCCTAGAGAATTATAATCCCCACAACCCAACTTACTAACTCTACTGACTAAGTCCAAAGAGATTCCAAGTAACTAAGTAAGGGTATAGGGACCCTAAACCCCCAACCCTAAACACTAACAGGGGCTTCAAGGGTTTAGGCTTTCCTTCGCGCGCGGGCGCGCCTGTGAAGGTCTTGAAGGTGAGGTCGGCGGACTCCTGGTGCCTGGTGTGGAGCTCGCGGGAGGCAAACAGAACCCAACTTCAGGGGTTTAGGGGGTTTAGGGTTTCGGGTTTAGGGGGTTTAGGGGGTTTAGGGGGTTTAGGGGGTTTAGGGGGTTTAGGGGGTTTAGGGGGTTTAGGGGGTTTAGGGGGTTTAGGGGGTTTAGGGGGTTTAGGGGGTTTAAGGGGTTTAGGGGGTTTAGGGGGTTGAGGGGGTTTAGGGGGTTTAGGGGGTTTAGGGTTTAGGGTGTAGGGTGCTCGCATCCCAACGAAGGAAGCCCTAGAGAACGTCAGGCATCTTCAGCCCTTGAAACCCCTCATAGGTTTAGGGTTTAGGGTTTAGGGTTTAGGGTTTAGGGTTTAGGGTTTAGGGTTAGGGTTTAGGGTTTAGGGTTGCCTGAGAGAGCCCTCGCCTGGGGACGGGGAAACCTTTAGTAGGGTTCAAGCTAAACATTTGGGTTTGTTTTAGGGTTTAAGGTTTACAGCAGGGTTTAGGGGTTTAGGGTTTGTAGGGTTCAGGGTTTTAGGGTTTAAGGTTTAGGGTTTAGGGCTTACAGGAAGCATACTGCTATATCCCAAAATCCTCAGCCCAAGAGCCAAAACATACTTGGGCTCTGATGCTCTTGTGAAGGAATCCCCAATTGTGTACCGTTATAGTTCACATAGGGGCCTTAATAATTAGAAAAGGGCTTTGGGGGGTAAGGGAATACTATTAGTGATTATTCTTGCCGCTATTACCCTAAACCCTCAACCCTAAAACCCCAACCCCTAAACGTAACTCTTTCGACCCCTACAGCAAACTCCAAAAAGTTGGAACATCCTTATCCCATGCCCCAAAAGGTACTCTAAAAGGGAATCCCAGTATTAAAAACATCCCTAAACCATGTTCCAACTTTCTGGAGTTTACTGTATAGTACTTGGACCCATTGGGTTCGACCACATGTCAGGCCTAAACGTGAATCACCGTCATGCAAGTTCTGCGTTTTGAGAAATCCTGGGACTGGCTAGGAAACCCGGAACCCCAAACACTAAAACCTAAACCCTGAACCCTGCATCCCTTGCTTAGCAACCCCAAAAACCATGCTCAAGCACGGGTAGGCCCCATCACCCCCGTTGTTAGGGCTAAACAGAGTTGAGTTAGGGGTTCAGGGTTCAGGGTTTAGGGTTCAGGGTTTAAGGTATAGGGTTTGGGGCTTAGGGCCTAAAACCCTAAACCTGGATACTTTTGGACCTGGCGAAGTCACCCGTAAGAACCGGCGGACAATTCGAGGTTGCTGGCCATGATTTCCGGATCTCCGGCTACTAGGAGTCCAGGAGCCTGAAACCCTAAGTTTGAACTCTAGACCCCAGCAAGAAACCCAAACCCTAAACCCTCAACCCTAAACCCTAATTAAACCCTAAACCCTAAACCCCGAAGCAGATGCAGGCCCAAGAGCATGAGGCCCAAAGCAGAAATGCCCATGGACACGGCCGCCCAGATCAGGGCCTCACGCGCGGTTTAGGGTTTAGGGTTTGGGGTTTGGGGTTTAGGGTTTATGGTTTAGGGTGGCTTGTTTCAGGGTTTCGAGTTTTTTGGGATGGGTTTAAAGCTTGCTGAACGGCTTTCCCCTACACCTTTTTTACAGGGAATTGCTGCATATATAGACCCCAAATAGTAGGATATTTTATAATAAGGACCCCGGTAAGGTACCCCCAATTTCGGAAACGGTGTGGTTGTAGGTTGGTTTCAGGGTTTAGGGTTTCAGGGCTTTAGGGCTTAAGGGCTTAGGTTTAGGGTTCAGGGTTGGTTTAGGGGAGACCATAGACCATGGCGGGGGATACCATGGGGGGAACGCACAGCGCACCACTCTTCATAGGGCCCTAAAAATTCCCTCATTCCCTGCAAGCTGGCGGGGGGGGGGCGGGGGGGCGGGGGGGGGGCGGGGGGGGGGGGCCTAAACCCTAAACCCTAAACCCTAAACCCTAAACCCTAAACCCTAAACCCCAAACCCTAAACCCTAAGCCGGGGGCAGACATCAAGGATGGCCTTAAAGAAGTTCCTGTCGATGATGAACACACCCATGGCCACCCAGCAGATGCACACAAGAAGCGAGCCTCGGGTTCGCGTTTGATTTTTTTTAAGGGTTTGGGGTTTAGGATTTAGGGTTTCGGGTTTCGGGTTGAGGGTTGAGGCGGCGGGGGGGGGGGGGTTAACTAAAGGTGTGTTATAAGGGTTAAGGCGGCAAGGCGGCTGAGGTTTATAGGGTTGAAAGGCTTAACCCTAGGCCGTAACCGGCTTAAACCCAGAACTGCAAGGGCCTGAATCGGTGTTCAAGAATGTTAAGGGTCATTCAAGGGGTTTTGTGTTGGGGTCACCCTAAACCCTAAACCCTAAACCCTAAACCCTAAACCCTAAACTCCTACAGATGCCATGCCTGTGCGCTCGGAGGGAGAGCCTCACTAACAGGCCGCGGAGCCTCCCTCGTAGGTTTAGGGTTTAGGGTTTAGGGTTTAGGGTTTAGGGTTTAGGGTTTAGGGTTTAGGGTTTAGGGTTTAGGGTTTAGGGTTTAGGGTTTAGGGTTTAGGGATTGGGAGCTGCTTGCCTCTGGGTCAGACGAAGCAGAATTCCACGATGCGTCATCGACCATACGTTGCACCCCCCTAGGCTCCAAGGACCCTAAACCCTAAACCCTAAGGTTTTGGGCCCAAAGACCTTACTATATAAAGGTTCTTGAGGGAGTTTAGGGTTTCTCGGATTTCGGGTTCCTAAGGGAATTGGTTGGTTGTTGGGAGTTTGGGGCTGTTAGGCCCTGTTAGGCCTACTACTAAGGGTAGTTGCTAAGTTCATCAGCTCAAGTGTACAAATTTCAGTTCTACAAGGGGATTATGGTATCCCAAAAAGTGTAGTGTGTACTCAGTCAGCTACTAAGTCTTAGGGTTTAGGGTTTAGGGTTTAGGGTTTAGGGTTTAGGGTTTAGGGTTTAGGGTTTAGGGAAGAAGAAAGGGCATTGGCATCGCAGCTGCTTTGCTGTTTGGAGCTCATGCGGCCTGCTCCGACGCTCGAGCCCCACTAGCCTGTACTACCACCCAGCGTTCGACCCAAGAGTGGGTTTAGGGTTTAGGGTTTAGGGTTTAGGGTTTAGGTTTTAGGGTTTTGGGTTTAGGGTAAGGTTTGGGGGGGTTCAAGGTTCAAGGTTTCCAAGGTTCAGGGTTTAGGGAGATGCCGCACCACTTGCCACGCACGTCGGGGTCAAGGTTGCAACGGTGCGGGGCCTTCCTTCTCGGAGGTGGATGCGAAGGCCACGCGAGATGTAGACCCTAAACCCTAAACCCTAAACCCTAAACCCCAAACCCTAAACCCTAAACCCTAAACCCTGAACCCTAAACCACCCTAAACCCTAAACCAGGGGCTCCGAAGTATGCGCCCCTTAACTTGGGTCCTCTGTTATATAACCCGTATAGACACTATACATACTGTACATAATGATGAGGGTGTAGGGTGTAGGGTGTAGGGTGTAGGGTGTAGGGTGTAGGGTGTAGGGTGTAGGGTTTAGGGTTTAGGGTTTAGGGTTTAGGGTTTAGGGTTTAGGGTTTAGGGTTTAGGGTTTAGGGTTTAGGGTTTAGGGTTTAGGGTTTAGGGTTTAGGGTTTAGGGTTTAGCACATACTTCGGATCCCTTCAAGGGTAAGGGACCATACTAAGGGCCCATGGTTCCAACCTTAGATTTTTCAGGGGTTAAGGGGAATTTAGGCTTCAGGTTCAACCCTAAACCCTAAACCCTTTAGGGTTTAGGGTTTAGGGTTTAGGGTTTAGGGTTTAGGGTTTAGGGTTTAGGGTTTAGGGTTTAGGGGTATCAACAGCTAGAGTATATGAAACCTTAATTGCGAGACCCCAGAGTACCCTAGGAATAAAAAGGGTGCCACCCTAAACCCTAAACCCTAAACCCTCAACCCTAAACCCTTATAAGCCCTGTCTGGTCTTTGATTCAAACCTAAATAAGCCCTAAAAACAAGGGAATAACGGCCCACTCTGGGTCCTAAGTATCTTGGCTGCACTTAGTAGGGTAGCTAGAACTTAAATCTTTAGCTGCCTTATTCAGAAACCCTAAACCCTAAACCCTAAACCCTAAACCCTAAACCCTAAACCCCGAAAAGGCTAAGGGTCTAAAGTTACAGTAAAGCACCACAAAGGTATGTTTGGATCGACCTCGGGGCTTCGACCCGGCGACTATTCACTCAAAAGCCTTCTTTTGGGGTTTAGGGGTTTGGGGTTTAGGGCTAGGGTTTAAGGCTTAGGGTTTAGGGTTTAGGGGTTTAGGGGTTTAGGGTTTAGGGTTTAGGGTTTAGGGGTTTGGGGTTTAGGGCTAGGGTTTCGGGATGAGGGGACTCAACCCTATCCGCAAATTCTCGAACTTTGAAACCCACATCCCTGAAATCCCACCCCTAACCCAACACAGAAACCCCAACTGCCCCTAGGCCCTAAACAACCCAAAGCCCCCAACCAGACCAACACCCTACAAAGCCTCAACCCTAAACCGTAAACCAGAACACATTTTTGCCCGAGCCCCATTCACCCCCGACTGACCAATTGATATAAAACCCAAATTCACCGGGCCCTTCCCCCGCAAACACACTAAACACCCTCCAAGCCCTTCCGAAACATAAACCCTGCACCCTAAACCCTAAACCCTAAACCCTAAACCCTAAACCCAAACCCTAAACCCTAAACCCTAAACCGCACAACCTGTGGCCATTAGGCTTGCGCAGCCGCGTGGCCGTGTGCGATAGCCGCCAGGCCCACGGGTGGTGGGGGATCATGAGGCCACTTCGACAGGACCCTCGCAGCTTGAAAGGTTTAGGATTTGTGGGTTTAGGGGGGTTATGAGGGTTCAGGGGTTTTGGGTTTAGGGTTTTTATAAGGGTTCAGGGGTTTAGGGTTTTATAAGGGCTTCTTGGGGGGGGGGGGGGGGTTTTGGGGATTTCGGAAGTAGGGAAGTAGAGCTTTTTCAAGGGGCTTTTTGTGGGGGGGTGCATGGGGGGTGGGGGGTTCTGTAGGGACCTAGGGTTTAGGGCTTTCAGGGATTTAGGCTTTGGGTGGTTTCGGGGGTTGTTGGGTGTTTTGGGCTTTTTTCGGGCTAAGTTCAGGTCTTGGGGAGGGATCTAGGGTTTAGGGCTTTCAGGGATTTAGGCTTTGGGTGGTTTCGGGGGTGTTGGGTGTTTTGGGCTTTTTCGGGGTAAGTTCAGGTCTTGGGGTTTGTACGTGGTCAAGCAGTTGGGTTTGGGTTGCAAGCTATTCGGTTTCTTGAACTACGGGCAGGAAACTGAACCATTGAGGTTCAGGATTTAGGATCGAAAACCCTGAGATGCAAAAAGCCATCGACCCCCCAAACCCTAACCCCTAAGCCCTGAACCCTGAACCCTAAACCCTAAACCCTAAACACTAAACCCTAAACCCTTGTTGGGCGAGCTGGGCAACTTTATAAGAGGAACTTGAACAAGCCAAAAGGGCAAAGTGTACCACTGGGCGCCTGGCAAAGAGACCTTATAATCTGGCCAGCTGCCTAAGAAGCCTGCATAATATCCACGAAACCCGAAACCCGAAAAAACCCGAAAAAAAACTAAACCCTAAACCCTAAACCCTAAACCCTAAACCCTAAACCCTAAACCCTAAACCTAAACCCTAAACCCTGAGCTGCCCCCGAGGGACCAGTCCGCCACCGCGGGCATGAGGCCCAGGATGGCTGCAGGGAGGTGCCGCGGCTTGATGATGTCGAACGCGTCCTGCGTGGGGATTCAGGGTTTAGGGTTTAGGGCTAGGGTTTAGGGTTTAGGGTTTAGGGTTTAGGGTTTAGGGTTTAGGGTTTAGGGTTTAGGGTTTAGGGTTTAGGGTTTAGGGTTTAGGGTTTAGGGTTTAGGGTTTAGGGTTTAGGGCTAGGGTTTAGGGTTTAGGGTTTTGGGTTTTGGGTTTAGGGCTAGGGCTTAGGGCAGCTGCTTGTTTTTCCTGGGGGATCGGGGGGGACTCGCGTAAGTAGCTACAAAGTGGGTACGTACCCGAAAACCAACGCCGGCAAGCCAGCTTAGCGAAAAGAGACCGAATTGGGGAAATCCTTTGTCGTGGCCCTACTCGTGCGAAGTCCCTCGATCCTCCGCGTAGGGGAACCCCTGGTGTCTGGCAGCTGCGTCTCCTCCAACTCACCAACCGCGGCCTCAAAGAGGGTCTTCCGTGGGTGCACCTTCCCAAGAGAATCCAAGCCGGCGCAGGGTTCTGTGAATGCCGACGAGAGCTATAGGGTTCGGCGACCCACGCAGGGACATATCCCGTAGGTGCCGTCGACCTTCGCCGCCCGGAGCCAGCAGTCACTGCGCAGAAGCACGCGTAGTCCCCGGTCGTGACCGTCAGCTCGCGGTCGCCGGATGCAGTGAAGGGTTGGTGCACCGGTCGTGGTGTCCTTGGCCCTGAGCGCGTTGATCTCTTCCTACTTGCCAAGCGGACGACCCGAGCACAGACATCTCGGACTTCCTGATGAAGACGATCTTCGCCCCTTCCAGCAACACCGTGAGCTGGCACTCGCTCGGGCTGCGAAAGAGCGGACAGGGGAACCCTAGGCAACAGAAAGGTAGAGGGTTTAGGGTTATTTAGGGTTTAGAGTTTAGGGTTAGAGGTCTGAGAAGGGGTATTCTAAGGGTGTTTTTTGGGAAGTTTACGGGTTTTGTTTGGGCGGCGTGCCCCGAAAACCTGAAATCTAAACCGTAAACCTTCACGGCGAACAGGCAAACAAACGTTGGCCCTGAAGCTCCAGATGTCTGGGGTTAGGGTTTAGGGTTTAGGGTTTAGTGTTTAGGGTTTAGGGGTTTAGGGGTTTAGGGGTTTAGGGGTTTAGGGGTTTAGGGGTTTAGGGGTTTAGGGGTTTAGGGGTGTAGGGGTTTAGGGGTTTAGGGGTTTAGGGGTTTAGGGGTTTAGGGGTTTAGGGGTTTAGGGGTTTAGGGGTTTAGGGGTTTAGGGGTTTAGGGGTTTAGGGTTTAGGGTTTGGCGTTTAGGGTTTAGGGTTTGGGTTTAGGGTAGTTTAGGGTTTGCTGAAGGTTTAGGGTTAGGGCTGAGGCGTGAGCGTTTAGAAAGCCCGAGCACCCTCCTGCGCAATGGCGAGGCCCACGAAAAGGATAATGGGGGCGATTCCCCAAGGGGGGATGAACCTGAGTAGGCAGGCTGGAGACACTCCCCGTGAAAACCACACCCTCAACACTGAAATCTATACACCACACACATGTATATATATATATATGTATATAAATTCCGACATATAAAAAATACGTAAAGATGAGTTATAGTAATAACAACATAGAATGTACAGAATTTGATATAGCATGTCAATGTGATGCCACGGAAACCCCGAACACCCCGCAATCGTAAACTACAGAGACAGAGTCCCTAGCGCGCTAAACCCCCCTCAACGCCCCAAACTCCCAGACCCTAGACCCAACGACCCCGTATACACTACACCTTATCCCCTCCCAGACCCTAAACCCTACAAGCTCTTAATCCGTAAACTCTCAGGCTTAAACCCTAAACCCTAAACCCTAGGCTTTGGGAAGAGTTTGCCGGCTCGAGGAGTCTCCGATCAACTTCCTGGTTCTTCCAAGGGGATGAGGGAATACTAGGCGCCACATCGTAATCCCTTGACGTTACGGTTGGGGAAATAGGGTTTAGGGTTTGGGGTTTAAGGTTTACGTTTATTAAAGTGTGTGTATGTATATATATACAAATATAAGGGGAGAGGGGGATGCATATAAGGTACCTAATTCCCTTGAAGGGTATATTTGTTCTTATACATAAATAAATATATATATATATATATATCTATCTATAAACCCTAAACCCTAAATCCTAAACCCTAAACCCTAAACAGGAGGATCACAAGGTACCTACCAAGAACCAGGCGGTCACCGTTCTGCTGGGGCGCTGTGTGGGATCCTACAGGGTGGGGGATCAAATAAGAATAATGAGAGCTGCGGTTTAGGGTTTTAGGGTTTAGGGTTTAGGTTTAGGAAGGTATAGGGTTTAGGTTTAGGATTGAGGGGTCAGGGCTTAGGATTCAAGGAAAAAAAGAACAGAACATGAATTCTTAGGGTAGTTGCATGGTCCCTTAAAAAAGGGAACCGTGTACCCGCTTATATACCCCACACAACCCAAGGGCCCATATTAAGGGACCGTGTAGTTAGCCTCAGAATGATTAATTAAAATAAAAAACAAATGAGAATGACATGAATAACGACCTGTACAGGAAATAATCAGCACAAACATAACAATCATAGTCTTGTTGACAAAGATAATGCTCTTAGTAACCGTTATGGTTATTTTGTTGGTGGTTCAAATGATAACAAAAACACTAACGACAATATGATAACAATCACAATGATGAACGCAAGGATGATAATCGTAATAGACACGATATGAAAGGTCATGATCGTCGTCCTATATCCGTATATCTATCCCGTTCTTGAGGTTGAGAAAATTACTTGCTACTTGCAAGTAGGCTAAAAGCCACCTCATACTTGAGGGAGGTATCCGACATCGGGCACCAGTTGCAGTAGATCCTAAACCCAAAACCCTAACCTCCCAAACCCCTAAAATTCAAACCCTCAGCCCTAAACATCTAAATAAGCCGAAGTCAACCGAAGCCAGCCAATCCCACAAATCTTTGCCTCAAACCCTAAACCCTGAGCCCTAAACCCTAAACCCTAGCCCTAAACCCAAAACCCATTCAACTCCCTCTTCCTACGAACTGCAGACCAGTCGCGCGTTGATGGCTGCGAAGAGTCCCGTCGAGGCCAGGAAGCAGAAGATGAAGCAGTTCATGAAGGAGTAGTAGATCACGCCTCCTTGGGCCTTCCCAAGAACCCCCTAAACCCTAAACCCTAATCCCTAGCAGACCACGCCCCCTTGGGACTTTCCAAGACCCTACTTGGAGGTTCATGGCACTTACTAACCAAATAGTAATTGCACTTACAACATAACCTAAATATAACAATGTTAGGGCATTTCCAGGGCTTATAAGTCGGCAATAAGTACAGTTCTCCGAACAGCTGCAACTAGAGCAGACACACCCGACTTCTGAGGGCGTTGCGAGGACAAACCAACACAAGGGGAGCGCTAAGCTGGACTCCGACAAGTCTTTCTAGTTATAATGGGTCATTCAGTGCCATGAACCTCCAAGTACACCCGAACCCGGCCCCTCCCCCCCCCCCCCCCCCCAAACCCTAAACCCTAAAGCCTAACCCTAAACCCTAAACCCAACACCCTAAACCCTAAAGCCTAACCCTAAACCCTAATCCTTCCCCCCCCCCCCCCCCCCCCCAAACCTCAACAGGAAAAAGGGCCTACTGTGGGTCCTGGTCACCCTGGGGTCTGGGTTGCTGCTAAGGATCTGTCACAAGCTGCTGCAAAAAAACGAAGGCCACGATTGAGGGGTTTAGGGTTTAGGGTTTAGGGTTTAGGGGTTTAGGGTTTAGGGTTTGGGGTTTAGGGGTTTAGGGTTTAGGGTTTAGGGTTTAGGGTTTAGGGTTTAGGGTTTAGGGTTTAGGGTTTAGGGTTTAGGGTTTAGGGTTTTGTAACTGAAACTACGACTCCCCTTAACAGCCAACCAGAAAATAGCTACTGTAAAGAGCCAAGCCAGAACAAACTCAGCACACATGCCCCTAAACCCTAAACCCCAAACCCTAAACCCTAAACTCTATCCCCTAAACCTAAACCCTAATCCCTAAACCCTAAACCCTAAACCCTAAACCGTAAACCCTGAACCCTAAACCCTAAACCCTAAAAGCCCTAAACCCTAACCCTCAACCCTAAACCCTAAACCCTACCTGTTTCTCTAGAGCCCAAGCAGCCATACGATGCATAAACGCACATACTCCGACCCAAAAACTCGTCTACCCCTAATACTAGACAAGAACCCGGAACACCACCCCTAAACCCTAAACCCTAAACCCTAAACCCTAAACCCTAAACCCTAAACCCTAAACCCTAAACCCTGCAGCAATCCATCCACGCCTTGAACTGGGGCTGACCGCAATAGACGCAGGTGCCGAAGGGAGAGCCAAACCTCTGTGGGGAAAGTTTCGGGTTTAGGTTTTAGGGTTTCGGGTTCAGGGTTTCGGGTTTAGGGTAAGACATGTTGATGTTTGAAGGCTGAAAGGTTTAGAGGCCCTGAACCCTAAACCCCATGCGCTTGGAAGCCAACAGAAGAGGAACAAGTGTCGTAAACAGCACCAAGAAGCAGTCCGGCGACGATGGTCGTCAGGCCGTCCACCACGAGGCCTGCAAAGGTACTTGCAAACATTCTTCCGTATAAATGGTAATACAAAGGGCCTATTGTCTTTCTTTTTTGCGGGTTTCTTAAGCAAATAGTAGCTTAGGGTTTCGTGTTGCGCTTCTTGTTGCCAGGCAAGGCCTTCGGAGATCAGAATTCCTGTGAGCTCATTGCTGCCGGAATTCAGGGGCACACCAAACCTAAACCCTGAGCCCCAAGCCGAACCCCTAACCCCTAAACCCTAAAACCCTAAACCTCTAAACCCAGAGGGGAGAGCCTGTGCAGGCATAGTATTCATGCCCTGACAAACCTGGCACTCGGTGCAGGAATCAGGCCTGACTCCCTTGCTTTGGGGTCCGTGGTACTTACTAACCAAATACGAATTGCACTTCAAACCCAACTATAACCAGATTAGGGTAATTAAGCAGCTTATAAGTGGGTTATAAGTACAGTTATAATTGGTAATTAAGCACCACGAACCCCCAAGTAGCTTTGGGGCCTCTGGGTCCCCTGAACCCTCGAACCCTAAATCCTAAACCTTCAACCCTTTGTGGTTAATTGAAAAAAGCTTAACAAGGGAAACCTAGACATTAGAGAAATTGAATAGGAAACCCGCTCTGGACCGAGCTTCCTGAATTCCCACTAACCCCAAGCTACAGTAAAATGATACTCCATTCCGATTTGGGGGTTCGGTTTGGGGTTTAGGGTTTGGGGTTTAGGGTTTAGAGTTTAGGGTTTAGGGTTTGGGATTGAGGCTTCAGGGCATAGAAGTCCCAGAGCCTACAAGATGTTTGGCGAAGTATTAGCCTGAGCCCCCGAAACGCCAAAACAAGAACCGCGAACCTAAACGCTACAAATCTTGATGCTGGAACGACTCTGCCCCTCCTGGGTGCAGGGGTCTTGACTCATAATTTGGGTTTAGGGTTTAGGGTTTAGGGTTCAGGGTTTAGGGTTTAGGGTGTCGGGTTCAGGCTGCTTGAGGGGGCTTTCTTTTGGGAGGGGTGATATCACCAAAGGCGCATTCTCGAATGGGGTAGAAGTCGCCAGCCGAGTGGGCAGCATACACGCCTCGTTTTGGGGAGATTTAGGGTTTAGGGTTTAGGGTTTAGGGATTAGGATTTAGGGTTTAGGTTTAGGGCTTTGGGGAGCTTGGTAGGTAGCCCAGTAACCATATTACAATATGGGCACCCTTTTTGGGTTGGTTACCTTATAAGGGAACCTTGAACCAAACAAGAAGGAGGAACAAGGTGCTACTGGGCTACCAAGGGAGGAAAGAGAGACTCTTGTCTTTGTGCTTGGGCGCAATTAGGGGCTTACAAGGGTTTAGAGGCTCAGACCAAAACCCTAAACCCTAAACCCTAAACCCTAGTACCCCAGACCCTAAACCCTAAACCCTAAACTGTGAAGTAACGTATGCGCCACTGCAGGAGGCTGAGCCTCAATGATGTCGACAACGCTCGGCTGCAGCAGATTATTTCTTGTGCGTTTACTTCTACGAAGTTCTTGCTTTCCAGGGACTCCAACACCCCTTCTTTACGGAATGTTCCTTAACTTATAATCGGGTTCCTTATGTGGTTGAAGGAATGTTCCTTACATTTTCTTGTGTGTGTGTGTGTCTTTCTAGTTTGTACTTACACTGATGAGCCCCTGAAGTGCCCCAATATGGTTGGAATTGGGTTAACAGTACCCTAAACCCTAAGCCCGAAACCCTACACCTGGCTTATGGTTTAGGGTTTAGGGTCTAGGGCGCCAGCCCCTCCCCTTCTCCGGTTGCCAATGCACTCACCAATGTGTTCACGGCTCCAACAAAGGCCACGGGAAGGATCACGGCCACATTCCCCATCAGCACCTGGGTGTGTGCTTCAACTCGGGACCCTATAAATCAGGGTCTAGGGTTTAGGCTTTAGGGTTTCGGGTTTAGGGTTTAGGTCTAGGGTTTAGGGTTTAGGGTTTAGGGAATCCAAAGTCCTGAAACCCTAAGCCGACCCTAAGCCGGGACTCTGTTGGAGCTTTAGATGCAGCAGTTCGGTCTGACAGTCCAAAAACTTCTACTCCCGAAACACGAAAACTGGGTGGCAGTGGGGGGGGGTTAACGCTTAACCTAGCCCTAAACCCTAAACCTTAAACCCTAAACCCTAAACCCTGAACTCTGAACCCTGGACCCTGAACCCGCCCCCCCCCCCCCCCCCCCCCCCCCCCCACCCCTAAAGTTGTGGAGGTGTCGGGTTGGGGCTTGAGGCTTTGCTTAAGCTCCATGCAGGGCTCAGGGCATCATTCTCATGTTTCGGCTGGTGGGAAGAGATTGGACACTTGGGGGGACTGCCTCTGCAACCCCTAAAACTTTCGACAACCGCTAAACCCTAAACCCTAAACCCTAAACCCTAAACCCTAAACTGGCCCTAAACCCTAAACCCTAAACCCTAAACCCTAAACCCTAAACCCTGAACCCTGAACCCTGAACCCTGAACCCTCAAACCTAAACCCTACAACCTAAACCATGCCTAAAGCCGCCTTCAAGCTCGATGTGGAGCCCTAAACTCTAAACCCTAAACCGTAAACCCTAAACCCTAAACCCTAAAAAGCCTAAAGCCCTAAACCCAAAGCACGGGCGTCATAGCCTCCGGTTCGGCCACGGCGCCGATGGAATTGCGCTGAAGGACTCGCCATCCAGGAAGGTTGGGGTGTAGAAGGCGAAATTCCTGGCAGGGGGCTTTGTATATAGGGTTTAGGGTTTAGGGTTTAGGGTTTAGGGAAGGGAAAGGATGAGGGCGACCCTTGGGGATATAGACCCTCTGAATAAGGTCCCTCTTCAAGAGAGACAGAAGAGGGTTAATAAGGGTTCCCTTTTCAGGGTCCCCTTATCCAACCTAGGAGTATAGGGTTCTGGGTTTGGGGGCTTAGGGGTTAAGGGATTGGGGTTTGTACGTGGGGTTTGAGCAGGGTTGCGGGTCTAAACCCTCAACCCTAAACCCTGAAGCGTTGGACGCTGTTTCTTCAGACTTGTCTGAGAGTCGTAGACAGGGAGTGTCTGCCATTGGACTTCCTAATTCGGGGTTAAGGCTTACCTCTATCAGACCCTTCGAATAAAAAAGCGTACCCTTTTTGGTTTACAGGGGCTTATCAAGGAACCTAAACCCTAAAACAGGGAATGAGGGCCTACACCGTAAACCCTAAACCCTAAACCCTAAACCCTAAACCCTAAACCCTAAACCCTAAACCCTAAACCCTAAACCCTAAACCCTAAACCCTAAACCCTAAACCCTAAACCCTAAACCCTAAACCCTAACCCAAAGCCTTATGCTCTGAACCCCTTTCGCGGGCCGAGGAGCGCGAAGGAAGCCGAGACAGCCTGCACAAGAAGGGGGTTTAGGGTTCAGGGTTTAGGGCTTACACTAAGGTTCAAAGAGTATAAAGGCTTCTAGGGTTTAGAGGGGGAAGGAGAGGAGTGGGGAGTGGGGGGAGTGGCGAGAGTGGGGGGGAGTCAGGGTGAGTTTAGGGTTTAGGGTTCAGGGTCTCAGGTTTAGGGGTTTTAGGGAATCTAGGCTTTATAGGGTTTATGACCCGTAGGGTTAGAGGGTTCGCGGGCTTTCTAAGTCTTGTAGGGCTTTAAGCTTCCGAGGGCTAGAGCGTCCCTGATTTTAAGGCTTTCTAGGCCTTTTAGGGCTTGGAGGGGGTCAATGGGCCTGAGAGGGTCTAGGGGGCTGAGGGTGGTCGAGGGAATGTGCAGCACGACCATGCTCCCACAGCGCTGATCTTTCTCCTGATCATGATGAAGGACCCGGTCATTGCCAATTGGTGGCACAAATTGCCTGTGGTGCCCACCGTTTTCTAAAACCCACAAATCCCAACAACAAGGGCTGTGGATCTAACCCTAAACCCTAAACCCTAAACCCTAAACCCTGAACCCTGAACCCTGAACCCTAAACCCTAAACCCTAAACCCTAACCCTAAACCCTAAACCCTAAGAACCACAGAGTATGAGCCCGGGAAGAACTCATCGCCCCTGACCCGAGGATCCCAAAGGTGTTTGACGTGTCCAATTCCCAACCTAAACCCTAAACCCTAAACCCTAAACCCTAAACCCTAAACCCTAAACCCTAAACCCTAAACCCTAAACCCTAAACCCTAAACCCTAAACCCTAAACCCTAAACCTGTTTGGGCGGCCTCTTGGTGGGCATGTCTTCACACTGCTGCTCAAGTGACCCATGCTACACCCTAAAGCCCAAACCCTAAGCCCCGAACCAGCGCCAACCCCTATTCTAACCCCTACCCCCCCCCCCCCCCCCCAAAAAAAAACCCCAAAACCCCGCCCAAAAAACCTCAAACCCTAAACCCTAAACCCTAAACCCATACCCTAAACCCCCCAAAAAAAACGGCGCCAGCGCTCCCCATGCCTCGGCAGTGCCGCCGTCGGGATGCGCGGATCCCTCTGGCCAGCCCTCACCTTAACACATTCAAGGGTTTAGGGTTTAGGGTTTAGGGCAAGTAGGGCTTAGAGTTTAGGGTTTAGGGGTTGGCCAGCCTTCGCCTTTGCACTTCAAGGGCTTAGGGCCGGTTGGGTCTTTAGGGTTTAGGGTTTAGGGTTTACGGTTTGGGGTTTAGGGTTTGGGGTTTAGGGTTTGGGGTTTAGGGCAATTAGGCTACGCAGGCTTTAGGGTTTAGGGCTTGGGGTTTAGGGCAAATAGGGTACACAGGGGTTTAGGGTTTAGGGTTTGGGGTTTAGTGGTTTGGGTTTAGGGCAAAATAGGGTTTAGGGTTTGGGGTTTAGGGTTTGGGGTTTAGGAGTTTGGGGTTTAGGGTTTAGGGTCGTAGACTCCCTATAAAAAAAATCATACTGAATAAATATGCGCATACCTGCACCCCAAAATAACCAGCAAAATACAGTAGACCCCTACACTGGAGCTTGAGGGTTTAAAGGCTATTCAGGGTGGGTTGGACGTCGGGAGGCAGGGGGTGGGGGGGGGGTGGGGTTCCTGGTAAACCCTCCTCTTTTCTGAACCCCTTTTACCCAGGCGCCCATTCTGTAGTCTGAGGCTCTAGGGCAAGCTTGAATAACACTAAACCTAACCTAAACCCTCAACAACTGAATCCCTTGCAGGCCCTCCATCCATAAAAGGAAATGTTAAACCCCTTAACTCCCCCGATATCCCTAAATACCAAACCCTTACCCCTAAAAAGAACTCCCCCCGATATCAAGCAGTGTCGCGGGAAAGCCAGCCCGTCATACAGCCGACGAGCATGATAATGATGGCCGTCGGCATTGGGGCTGTCTTCCTGTCATACACGCGTAGAGGGGGGGGGGGGGGTGGAGGGGCCCCCTGAATAATTACTACGCAAACTTCTACATGTAGATAGAGGCGTTTAGCACAAGTCATGGTAGGTGTAAAAAAATCCTTGTATGCCTACTTGTCTTACTTGCAACTTGTGGAGTTTAGGGTCTAGGTTTGGGGGCTTATAGGGCTTTAGGCTGCCTTTTTCCAGAACAACTGATTCAATGGGCTAAACCCTGAACCTTCAAACCCTAAACCCTAAACCGGGGGGGTCGGGGGGTGGGGGGCTGGGGGGGGTGGGGGTGGGGCCTTTAGGGTTTTCTGGTTCAGGGTTTTCTGCTGAACCCTAGACCCTACTTGGAAGTTCATGGGCACGTATACCTCCAGTCATAGGCCTACTGAAACCCACTTCAGGACTTGCTAGTACCCTGAACCTCCAGGTAAACCCTAAACCGTAAACACTAACCCCAAACCCTGCCCTCGGATCTGTGTAGGGGTTAACGGATGAGGTTCCTCAGAATGCCAGAACTGTGGCATCTCCCCTGAGCTGTCGAACATCAAGTTTAGGGTTTAGGGTTTAGGGTTTAGGGTTTAGGGTGTAGGGTGTAGGGTGTAGGGTGTAGGGTGTAGGGTGTAGGGTGTAGGGTGTAGGGTGTAGGGTGTAGGGTTTAGGGTTTAGGGTCTAGGGTGTAGGGTTTAGGGTTTAGGGTCTAGGGTTTGGGGTTTGGGGTTTAGGCTTAGACCAGAAGACCCAAGAACAAACCCTAAAAAGTTAAAACAAAAAAAAACGTTTAGGACCAGAGCAGGCCCTTTCAAGCCCTAAACCCTGAACCCTAAACCCTACATCCTACACCCTAAACCCTAAACCCTATCCCTAAACCCGTTTATTCATAGGTTAGGCTTTAGGCAACCCCGCCAAACCTCCCAAAATCGAACCGAGACGCACTTCGCCGAAGAAGCAGACGAGGCAAACACCCAAGGGCAGCAAGCCCAAGTGGCCTTTTCGGGTTTAGGGTTTAGGGCTTAGGGCTTAGGGCTTAGGGTTTAGGGCGACTGGAGGTTTTAGGGTTTTAGGGATTCGGGCCTGAGGGGTTTTGGCTTTAGGAAACTTGACTTTCTGGCTGAGGAACCACTTGGAGGTTCAGGGTAGTACGCCGTTTGTAATTCGGAGACAAGTGCAGTGATACTTGAGTAAACGTTTGCAAGACTTAGAACTTTTTGCGGAGTCCAGGAGATCCCTTCAGGGACAGTGCCTTGGCTATGTTCTCTTAATCCGATTGGCCAGGCGCCAAAAGCACGGGGATCCCACATCTTAGTCCCAAAATCCCTAAACCCTAAACCCTAAACCCTAGAGAGGAGAGTTTTAGTGCCCCGAGAGAGGCCTGGGTCTTTGTTTTGTCAAATCCCAACAGAATTCAGGGCTCCCCTTTTGTTAAGATTTTCAGAACTGGATTAAAGGACTAGGATTTGGGATCTCACCATTCGCCAATATGACTAGCCTTTCGAATTTCGGGACTGAGTCCATTTTAGGAATAAAGCAAAAGAAACGATTTCTTCTGACCCTAAACCCTAGACCCTAAACCCTAAACCCGTTTAGCCTTTACAGAACTTCAAGGCTGAAGTGTAAAGATATTGGTGTGCAGATACCGATCGTGGACAGCTTCTTCAAGCCCAAGACAACCAATTCAGGATCAACCCCTGAAGATTTTTAAGATGCTTATGAATCAGGATTAAGATTCTTAAGATGCTTAAGATTCTTAAGGCCAAAATATAAGCTTGAAGATTGAAGATTCCTGGGAAACTCTTGGGAGAACTCTTCGGTTTCAATCTCGAGCGCCTGCAGCTTAGTAAGTTTTTTTACGACAAGACGAAAATTGAAGGCACTGCCCAAGAGTCTCCTAGAAATCTTCAATCTTTAATCTTCAGTTTCAGTATTTACGTTCTTAAGATTCTTAAGATTCTTGGGCGGTTCTTGGTAGATACTCCCGACCCAGGAAACCCACAACGAGAATCGAAGGCACTGCCCAAGAGTCTGCCAGAAATCTTGAATGTTCAATCTTCAGTTTCAGGAAGAAGTTTCTTAAGGTTCTCTACATATGTATATATATATATATATGCTCACCCCCCCCCCCATGATCTAGGTCGAAAGGCCTTTCGGGCCCATCGAAGCGAGATTTAAACCTAAGTCGGAATGAAAATTAAAAGGCCACTGGCCTCATTCGTAGTAAAACTTTTTTTAGAAATCTAAATTTGCCAATTAAAAGCCGCACCCTATGAAATCCTCTTCTGGGGCCTGCCTGTCCGTAACAAAATCTCACAAGAGCTTTATATGCAGAGGTTACAGCCTCAGAAATCCTCATCTGGGCTTCCTTCCTATTTTATTGAGAAAATGCTTCTACATAAGAAGCCCACACCCTACGAAAAGAATTCTATACTTAAAGGCCACACCCTATGAAATCCTCTTCTGGGCCCTCTTAATGAAATTTCAGTAGACTTGTGTCTGATAAAGCCACAGCTTCGTTCGTAATTAACCCAAGTAAAAAAATATTAAGAGGCCCAGCCCCAAGACATCCTCTTCTAAGCCTCATTGATTAATACCTATTTAGAACATTTTTGTTTTTCCCACACCTTGTGAAATCTTTCGCTGGCCCCATTCGTAATGAAACGCAATTTGATTTCATATTGTAAGCCCACACCCTAAGAAATCCTCTTCTGGGCTTCGTTCGTAATTGAACCCAAGTAAAGCAAGTGTATATTCAGAGGCCAACCCCAGGACCTCCTCCTCGCAATGAAACCGAGTTAGAATTCTATATTGCAGACCATACCCTATGAAATCCCTTTCTGGCCCCTATTTGTAATGAAGATTAATTAGAATTCTGTATTACAAAGCCACACGCCAAGAAATCCTCATTAGACCTTCGTTTGTAATTAGACTTATTTTCGATTTGCCAAGATGCTTGTATTAAAAAAAGCCACACCATTCTGGGGCCTGTTCGTAACAGAATCTCGTAAGAAGTTTACAATTCTAGGTAAGAAGCCCACACCCTAAGAAGTTGTGACCTAGGCTAGGTTCGTATGTAACTCTTGGACAGAAATTTATATCATGAGCCCCCATTTGTATTTGAATGTACTTACAATTCCATATTTAACCGCTAGGCCCTATGAAATCCTCTTCTGGTGCCTATTAGTGAAATGTCAATAGACTTGTATATGATAAAGCCATAGCTTCGTTAGTAAATTAAACCCAAGTCAAACAAACAAATTAAGAGGCCCCGCCACAAGACATCCTCTTCTAAGCTTCATTGGTTAATACCTATTTGGAATTCTATTTTGCAGACCACACCCTATGAAATTCTCCCCTGGCCTCGCTTCATACTACAATGTTATTTGAGGTTTGTATTAAAACGCCACACCCTAAGAAATCCTCATCTGGACTCGTTTGGAATTCCACTTAAATTGAATTTT